AGGGTGTGCCCCCCCCCCCCACCCCGGCCTGGCTTCCCATTGAGGGGTGCTGCTCATGACGTGTCTCCGTTCTGGCTTGCAGAGCTGCCGGGGAATGACCTGGACTGGGACTCTGGGATCTCCCTGCCGGACTCGGAAGGGTGCAGGTAAGAGCGGAGAGCCCTGAGGGAGGGAAGCAAAGATCCCCCCTCCCTCCTGAATATTTTTAAAACTCTGTGAGTCTCTGTCCAGTTCCTGGCCTCCCCCCTCACCCTTAGGGATGCCCCCTGCATGCACACAGCCAGAGCAACCTGGCTCACCCTGGACCCCAGCCCTGCTGCTGCCCGGCCTCGGCAGCTCCCACTTGCAGGGCCCTGAGTCAGGCAGCTGTTCCCAGCACCCAGCTTGCTCGAAATGGCCCCTAAATGCGCCCCCTGCACATGAGGGGCACCACTGAGGCCAGGGTGGGAACTGCTTTTGCTTTGCTTTTTTCTCTGGCGTGCACCGAGAGGAGTAGATAAAAACACACACGCTGGCTGGGGGCTGGAGGGGGATAGAATTGCCAGGCATCCCTGGGCAAAGGGGGGCGGTTCCATGCTCCCAGAAGGGGCAGGGCCGTGGGCAGAAGGGACAGGGCTGGAAGTGACCCCCCCCCCCCCCCCGGAGTTATTGGTGATTCAAGGGCCTGAGGCTCCTGCAGAGCTGACCTTGAAAATAACCCATGCAGGGAGACACAGCAGGCTGCTCTCTAGAGCAGAGGCACATTTACCCCTCTGGCCGCTGATTGCCAGCTGCTCCCTCCAGATCTCACACTTCCCTGTAGCACCCCCAGGCTGCCGGCAGGAGTGTGGAGCCCCAGGCTGCCGGCAGGAGCAGGGAACCCCTGCCATTTCAAGTGCCATTTCAAGCGGTGGTGCCTGATTGCACCAGCTAGCAGTACGCCAGGCGCCTGAACAAGCTCCGATCACACACACGCCTAACCAGACCGTAGCGGGGAGTGAAGCCTAGGAGAGCCGTGAATTCTCGGCTCCTGTAGGACTTAATTATAGGCCCTGGGGCTGCTGCATTACCGGGCTTGTTCTTCCCCACTGGTGCGCCGAAGGCGAATGGCTGCAAGTCCCAGGCGTGTTTTACCGGGGTGGGTTGGGCGGAGGACAGGGAACTCCTAGCAGGGTGGTCCGGGCAGGGCTGCTGCTACCCGCGTGCTTTGCCTTGCGCTATTCTCGGCTCCTGTAGGACTTAATTATAGGCCCTGGGGCTGCTGCATTACCGGGCTTGTTCTTCCCCACTGGTGCGCCGAAGGCGAATGGCTGCAAGTCCCAGGCGTGTTTTACCGGGGTGGGTTGGGCGGAGGACAGGGAACTCCTAGCAGGGTGGTCCGGGCAGGGCTGCTGCTACCCGCGTGCTTTGCCTTGCGCTCCGGTTGCAGGGGGCTTGCCGGCCTAACCTGTCGGATGGCGCTCTGGAGTGGCAGGAGCAGTTGGTGTCCCGGGAAGGTTTCCGAGGCGAGGAAGCGTGTGCGCTGCACGTGCGGGACAGGACGGGCTGTTCCATGCCTTTCCCGCGCCCGTCGAGGGGCTGTCTTCTGCGCTGCACTGGCCCCGCCCCCCCGGTCTGTGAGTGTGGGGTGTGACTCTGGAGTGCAAGGAAACTGCGCCCCGTGCCCCTTCCCTTCTTGCTCCATGTTCCCCTCTCACACTCCCCCTGCAGCACAGAAGGGGTGAAGTAGGGATGTAAGAGGAGTCGAATCAGGTGCCCGCAACTCCCCTCTATATCAGAGGCAGCCGGGGGGGAGCAGGAGCTGGTCCTGGGAGGAGCCGCCTTGAAGGCCGGTTCCCCCCAGCACCGGTTGCCCCCCTCCATGCTGCTGTGATATCAGAGGCAGCAGTGCGGGGGGCCTAGGGGAGGCTGCTCACGCCGGGGCCAGGTGCTACTCCACTGCGGCTCTGCCTGCGCGCCTGGCTCCTCCTGCGCTGAAGCCGCAGCGGGTGGCGCCTTCCCTTATCGACGAATCGTGTCGTTGGTACAAATTGTGTCGACACGATTACCCAGTGACGTCCTGGGGGGGAGGGTCTATGGCCCCCAGGGAGAGCAGGGCCCAGGCACAGGTCTGAGGCCATGGGGAGGAGGGGCAGGGGTCCGGGGGCCACAGGGATGTGCTCGCTGGCACCCGGCACGGACCCCCCGGCCCAGCGAGCACCGGAGCCCCTCGGGGGCCTCTGCATCCCTGAGGCTGGGGAGGAGGCGGCTGTTGCTAGGGGAGCAGGTGGAAGTACCCCCTTGCGAGTCAGGGCATTGTGGAGTAGGCACCTCCTGGGGGAGGGGGAGAGGGAGCAGATGCGGATGCTGGATGGGACCGTGGAAATCAGCTTGGGGTGGGCCCGGAGGCAAGGCCAAGAACCGGCTCTGATCTGTGGGCCTGGCAGTCCAGGAGGAGTCAACAGCTCGTGTGCCCTGGGGGATCTGTTGGTCTCCTTTTCGACAGTGGGACAAACGTTCCCTAGGGCCTCACACCGGCCTGTCTGTCCGTACGCCCGCCCCGGTCCCTGCAGTATCGCTGCACCGCCCCGGCTGGGGAGGGGGTGGGACTTGGAATCACAGAACACTAGGACTGGAAGGGACCTCAAGAGGTCATCGAGTCCAGTCCCCTGCCCCCATGGCAGGACCAAATACTGTCGAAACCATCCCTGATGGACATTTATCTAACTTACTCTTAAATATCTCCAGAGATGGGGATTCCACAACCTCCCTGGGCAACTGACAGTTAGGAACTTTTTCCTAATGTCCAACCTAAACCTCCCTTGCTGCAGTTTAAGCCCATTGCTTCTTGTTCTATCCCCAGAGGCCAAGATGAACAAGTTTTCTCCCTCCTCCTAATGGCCCTGCCACATGACCTGCCGGATGACCCAGGGCAATAGACCTCGGGTCTATCGACGCCCAGTGCTGTGCCCTGCCCCTGCCATTTGGCCTCTGTGTTCATCTGTGCATGTGCACACGGCCGGGCCATTTTCACGCCCGCTGAGGACACGCGTGCAGGACGCCCCGTGCTCGTGCGCAGCGTGTACGCAGGCTGAGACGTGCCCCTCTGGGAATCCGGCCCTCAGCTTCCCTCCGGGAAGGGGCAGGGGCAGACAATCAACGGGTGAAGGGAGAGTTGTAATAGCTTGTGGTTGGGGGGGGAGGGGGAGAGAGAGAGAGAGAGAGAGAGAGAGTGAGTGAGGGAGTGTGTGTGTGTGTGTGTGTGTGTGTGTGTGTGTTGGGGGGGGGACTTAATGTAGGCTAGGGCAGGTAGGAACCTCTAATCTCACTGGACAGATGATAAACCTCAGAGACATGGCCTGAAAATAAGAGAAACCCTAGAGAACGAGGCTTCCATACGCGGGAGAGGGGGAGAGACTCCTCAGGCCTTCCCCGGCGCAGTGTAGCCATGCGCGGCCTGGCGCTCTGGGAGCTGAGCTGACCATGTGCTCTAGGCCTCCCTGGGCGAGGGGGGACCCGAGAGGCTCCGTGGGCGGCGCTGGAGGCCTCTCGCAGATGGGTGTTGGGGGAAGGGAGGGATTGGCCCCGCCCGTCAGAAGAGTGAATGCCACATCAGTGGGGGTCGCCGCGCTCGGGCAGTGGCCAGGCTGGAGGGTGCCCTCGTCCTCCCTCGTCCAGAGCCTTGTGCGCAAGTCAAAGGGCCCTGCTCTGTGGTGGTCCAGTCTGACGCCGAACGGCGCGAGCCCCTTCCCCGGGGACAGCCCAGGCTCTGCACGCCCAGCTCAAGGGAGGGTTCTTACCCCCTTTGTGGGTGGGAAGCAAACGCCCAGAGGCAGGAAGACTTGCCAAAGCTGCCCCAGCAGCGCAGTGACTGGGCCGGGCAGGGAACCTTGCTTTCCGCATTCTCGCTGGGTGACCGCTGCCCGTTTGCTTGGGGGCTTGCCCTGGTAGGAGCCCTGGGGGTGGCCCCTCGGGATCCTTAGGCTGGTGGCTGGCCACAAGGGCGTCCTACACCCAGGGGACAATGAGCCACAGCTAGAGGCGTGTGGCTGGGCTTCTGGAGGAGCCTTGCAGCAAAGCTGGTGCATGTGAACCCAGGAGGCAAAAGAGCCGTGTCCTGGCATTGTGCCACTTTCAACAGCAACGGGACTCGGGCCAGGCGCGCAGCGGAGGGTGCGGCTATGCAGAGAGGTCAGGCACCGACAAGGCCGCGTGGGACAGCACTCGGAGGACACACACACACGTTACTCCATTCACACCGGCCTTAGCTCGCTTTGGAAGAGGGTTCTGGCGCTCACAAGCGATGCGCGTGCGGTTATTGTGTGCACATGATTTCAAACTGCATTCGCTGAATTTAGTCCGGATTAGCCTCCCGTGTGGACAAGCCTTAAGATATTAGGGCCCCAGCTACAAAGGGCCTGATAAATCCAGTCAGCGCCTCGAAAGGCGGTGGGGGACAGCCTGGAACCCGCGGCGGAGGTGGGAGCCGTGTGCTCCCTGCATGAGAAGCAGCCGTGCTCCGTGCTAGCTCCAGCTCTGGAGTGGTCTGCGAGGGCAGCCCCAGCCCGCGTGGGAGGCAGCAGATGCCAGAGAGGAGCCCCGCGGACGTGTGTCTTGCTCTGGCGAGTCCGGGTGCTGTCGCGTTTCACCTGCCTGCCGCTGCTGGGGCAGAAGGGTTAAGGGGCGGCTCTGGGACCCGCTTGCCTGAGCTGATTACTGTCACGGGGATTATGGCTGCAGCCAGCAGGGAAAGCCTTGCTCCGGCCTAGCCTGTGCATGGGACAGAGCAGGGGGCAGCTCAGACAGTCTGGAGGAGAAGCTGGGGGAGAGCGGGGGAGGTTCCCCCAGCCAGTGCAGTGTGTGGGGACGGGGGGCAGAGGGCAGAGGCCCATTCTGGGCAGCAGCTTGGCGTAGCTAGGGGGCAGGAGCAAGCTTGGGTCTCACGGCCCCTGCGAGAACGGGGGTGGGGTTACCAGGTGGGACAGAGCAGGGGGCAGCTCAGACAGTCTGGAGGAGAAGCTGGGGGAGAGCGGGGGAGGTTCCCCCAGCCAGTGCAGTGTGTGGGGACGGGGGGCAGAGGGCAGAGGCCCATTCTGGGCAGCAGCTTGGCGTAGCTAGGGGGCAGGAGCAAGCTTGGGTCTCACGGCCCCTGCGAGAACGGGGGTGGGGTTACCAGGCGTCTCCTGAGACAGCCGCCTGGGGGTAACCCCCCCCCCCCCCCCC